GTCGGCCGTGACTTGGAGCCTTTCGACCTCGGGTTTGGCTATGTCATATTGACCATGCAACATGCAACATATACACATGTGTATACATATATCTATATATATATATATATATATATATGCGTGTGCGTGTGCGGGTGGGTGTGGTTGTGGGTGTGAATGTTCATGTGCGTGCATGTGCTCGTGTGGGTGTGCGTGTGGGTGTGCGTGTGGGTGCGGGTGTGGGTCTGCGCGTGCGTGTGAGGCTGCGTACGTGGCTGCCACATGTATCACGTGTGCGCAGCACGCGTGCGCTGCGCGTGCGCGTGCGCTGCGCGCTCACATACGTCTACGGAAGCTTTGATGCAATTTGTCTATGGAAGCTCTGAGTGCAGTTTGTCTGCAGAAGGAAGCCGTCTGTCTATGGAACCTCTGAGAGCAGTGTCTGTCTACGGCGACGGAAGATTTGAGTGCAGTCTGTCTATGGAACCCCTCAATGCAATCTGTCTACGGAGGCTCTGAGCGCAGTCTGTCTACGCAGCAGTCTGTCTACGGGCTCAGAGCGAACTGGCCGCCGATCTCAGCACTGTGGCTCTGGACGTGGAGAGCTAACAACGGACTTGACTGGTGGTAGGAATGATTTCCAGTAACGTAAGGATGGTTGGCACGTGTGGCTGCGATGAGAAGAAGTCGCAGCTGCAGGAGGCATTGGGACGGAAGTATTTGACGAGTTAGATCATTCTCTCCCTTCGTTTCCCCGCTTTTCGCTCATATAACATTTTCGCGCTCACGGCCGGAGGCAGGCCTGTTGCCTCACCTTGAGCCCATCTTCATATATCTTCATATTTATTCGGATAGTCAGAGACTGGGTACGTCTGCCGACCAGTGCCACGTCCGGTTCTTTTGACAATCATCTTCATTACCTCCTCTGGTCTCCTATTCCTTCCTGTTCCTCATGTGATCTTTGAAGTGTGGACGAACGAGGCAGTGCCCTCAGATCTGCAGCTTGTCCAACCAGAGTTCGGAGGGCATCCAACCGCCCAGCGCCTGCGGTGTTTGGCATTTGGCAGCTTGTTTAAAAGCTCTTTGCGCAGTCGGTCTACGGAAGCTCTGAGTACAGCCCGAGTGAAGCGTATGTAGGTAGCTGAGCCCGGCAGGGCGTGTCTGCTTGTGTGTGGTGTGTGTGTGTGTGTCATCCGCTATCTCGACGGGCCTACTGTAATGCAGTGAGCAGTTTGAGTTTACATCAGCAGGTGTGGAAGCTGGCCAGGTGGCACTGGGCGTTGCAGAGACGCCGCCCCTATAGCATCCTATGCCACGCCTGATTCGGTGAGGCTCGGCAGGGCACAAATGAGCTGAACAATCAAGCCGGATTGGAATGCTAAGACACTCCAGATATCTCCCGACAGCCCTCCGTAAGTTTTATGTGCCATGTCGGGAGTGTAGGCGTGGCACGGTCGTGCCCTTGAAGGATACCTGAACACTGGGGCCAAGGGACACCAAGCGATACCGGGAGCTCTGGCCCCGCCCCCCTCCCCCACGCCCGATGTTGCAGACAATTTCAGCTGCAGCGGCCTACATGCTCTGACACCCCAGCAAGAGAACCCAGAACTGATTTGATGGGCATGGGTATGTGCCAAGGGAAGCCATGGTGCAACATGGAATTCATTCATCTCTTGCGTGCCTCAAATGGAGAACATGCGACGGGAATGCACTTGCTTTTGTTTCAAGCCATTGCGAAGAGCGAACTCTTGCTCGGCCTTCTCCTCCCCTGCTCCCAGTAGATGAGTAATTCTGAGGATGGGCAACCCCACAAATCTCACAGGGATGGTGCGAAACTCAAAGAACCACTGAACCACACTCAGCACGCCCTCAAGTCGCCAAAACGAACTGCAGGATCGACGAAGCACCTTTTCGTCGCGTGGTAGAATGTCCTGCTACGCCGTTCGGCAAGGATGTTCCAAAGCTTCGGCCGGCGCGCGGTGCGCTCTTTAGAACCGCACCGGCCCAAGGAACAGGCCAGCATACACCAAGTCCGAAAGCAGAATCAACTAAGCACCAAATAAACAACCTACCACAAAACAAGTCTAGCGCCGCAAAGCTAGCTCTGTCGGTCCTCACTGGTTTGCTGATCCTGTCTTGCGCCGGCTTCGCTGGTCCACTATTTAGACACTGCGTTGACGGCTTTGGTCAGCACGGCGTACCTTCAATTTCTGCGCTGCGCAGAGCGGAATCCAAAGGATTCTCGCAGGACGGCTCACTTCTTCTTGCTCGTGGCTTTCTTTGCTTCCATGCGAGCCTTCTTGATTTTGAAATCCTGCGCGGCTGGTGCTGTGCTTAGCAGCGGCAGTTCAACTTTGCTCAGAATCAGCCTGTTCGTCGAGGATGGGCTTCGCACAGCACTGGTACACAACACACGCCAGGCTCAAACCTGCAAATCTGGGGAGTTCATGCGTCTCTCCCTCGACGATTGCTCGTCGGGCTGTCCGAGCCCGCACCCGTGAACAGATTCTGAGGCCCTGAGGCACAGGCCAAGAAGGGCAGCGATGGCCATGGCTGCCGGGTGTAGCTCAGACACCGGTACCCTCAGACCAGAAAAGGTCAACACATGCTCAGCAAGATGACTGCCAAGACAAGCTGCGACCTGCTAGGATGTGGTGCCTTGCATCCGAGTCAGCGACGGATTGTCTGAAAACAGCGATGGCGGCATGCCTTTGTTGCCTATCTTCCTGTCTTCTGACTTCAATTTTCTGCACGACCCAATGCTGCCGTCCCAGTGCCATTCCAAATTTCCGATCGTGCACGAGGGGCATGTCTATGGTCAGTTTCGCTGCAAGAGAGTTTCAGCCAGATCAAAGAGTCCGCCGCAGTCCCAGTATAGTGATGCGCCTTCAGTCGGAGCCTTATCACAACAACTGCGTGCTGCAACGGTGACTCTTTTCAACCCGCTGCATATGCTCGGTCGATCGAGAATAACACTGCCTGTCACAGCTGCCACTTTCGGGTCCGATCTAGGAATATTATGGTCCATGCCTGCAAGTACTCCCGCTATTTGGATGAAGAGAAGAGCCGGAGGCAGTGTTTGACCGTTACGTCAGTACATGCTCACATCGGACAGTGAGACGCAACAGCGACTTCAATCAGATGTAGATGTCCAGCTCAGCGCAACGTCGTGAAAGCCGAGCTTGAGACTGGCTGTCAATCCCGCGCAATTAACGCAGCCTCTGAACGTAAAGCAGAAGGTCATTACAGAAGGTGTTTGCATGCAGGTATGTGTTGAGAGGTTAAGCGCATGGTGTGGTAACTTGGTAGCCTCATCCGTCGGCTTCGTCTCCAGAGTAGGAATATTCTGAAGTATCGGAACCTGCAACTCAAGACCCGAATCTCGCAAGCTCGTGCTCTGACGCCGAGGCTTCAGCCTTTTCGCTTGCGGCTTGCCTTAGCCGCTAGGCGGAGTCCAGGCGCTAGACGCGACACAGGCGGAACCCAGGAGCTCTCGCAGAGGTTCCGGCCTTGGACGGCTTTGGCTCCTCTTCCACGTCCTTGGCCTCCGAGCTCAGTCTCAGGGACCTGCAGGCCTCCTATGGCAAGGGGGGGACTGCCACTGAGCAGTCCTCGCCATTGACCTCAAGACGTTGCCGTGCAGTCCGCAGCTTGGCCTCAGAGACGTGATCACGGCAACTGCACATGAAATATCAAAAAACCGCAAGGTGCCATCATGTGATTGCGTACTAGTATCCCAGACATCCCGGCCTCGGCATCGGCAAGCCTGCAACAGAAGGACGCATCTATCGGCCACAAGCGAAAAGCGCATGGTTGAGCATCGCCGATTCGTCCGCAGATACAGATCACCTCTACTCGTGCTCATTCAGCATGGCTAGCGGCTAGAAGGACTGGGTAGGTCGAAACCTTTCAGCCCACCCTATGTTTGAATGGTTTTACGACCACAAACAGGCATCATCGAAACCACGCAGCAAGTCAAGTCGGTTGCCCCAGCCCTCCATTGACGCCCAGCAGTATTCTCGAACTCAACAACTTTGCGTTCTTGCATGTCTTTTATCTGTGTAAAGGCTTCTGTACTTCAAAAATTGTTTGCGGGAGCTGAAGATGTGCAAATGGATGCTAACGATTATGTAGAACTGTCTGACAAAACAGAGAAAGTGCAATGCACCATGCTGCTGCCGCGACAAACGCGGCAATCGCCAAAGTTTCGACTGGGCAGCCTTGTCGCTACGGTCTGCAACACGTCTGCACCACAAGAGGCTTACTGAGCTGTAGCCCTACGGGTGATGAGTATGTTGGCTTGTGGGCGTTGGTGTGTCTTCGCTAAACTTTCCAACCAACAGCCTTCTTGCTAGGATATGACCTACAACCCGTCTGCATGTGAGTTCAAAGGATACTATTGGCGAAAAAAACCGTACATCTTTTGAGAAGCAAAAGGTGTTAAAGACGTAGCTCTGGAACTGGCTAAGTTAGTTATGTGTTAGTCGCTGGCTCGCCGCAGCTCGCCTTCCAAGAATCGTTTCTTGCCGATAAGTTTCATAAAGGATTCCCATGTGAAGCATTAGTGTTGCCAAGGGCGTGACGACATTGCGGGCTTCGATGACTATGAAGTTCACCCTTCGTTCGGCCCCTGCTCAGTGCCCACAGCTGTCCCGTGTGCGAAGCGAAAGCGATCCTGTTACCAACGGTGTTTTGGCTTCCGTTACACGGTTTGTGTGTCAACACAAATGGCGACAGGGCACCAAACAAACAGCCGACAAGTGCACTTGGGTTGCAGTGATGCTTGGATACATCTTGATTTTCGGATTCCAAGCTAGCCCTTTAAACGAAGCTACGAGAGCTATGACCGCGGGTGTACTGACGTGGAGATATCGCGCTTGCTTCCTGCATGTATTGAAACATCACGGCACTGTGTGCACTGCATGCACTGCAGTCACTGGCTTATGCCACTCTTGCAAAGCAGGTGAAGCCTTCCGCGGTTGTGGTTCCTTTCTGGCGAGGAACAAAGTCCTTGGCATGCTTTTGTCCTGAACCATTTCCGACCAAATGTCCGGCTGGCGTTCGGAGAGTCGTGGTTTACGACGAATGTGGTCAAAAATATCAAACTGCTACATGAATAAATATGCGACATTAAAGGCTAGGAAGCTAAAGTTGTACAGAATCTGGGAAGATAAGGCTTGGGAGATTCGAGAAGAAGCATACATACCCAGCAGGAATTATACGAATATTTGATACCCACCTACGCCCCCTCAAAAACTCCCGCCGGAAGCAAAATCGGGAGCATCGGTAACTATCTAGAAGTGTGATGCCACCCTGCGGTCGTGCATGTTTTGGGCAGAGCCAATGTTGCAACCTTCTAATATCATATCCCGCCACAAACACGTGCAACTTCAATAGGCTCTAAGTACTAAACAAGACTAGTGCAAACACCCCCCAGCAACTTGACAGACTTGAGTGCTAGTCCACCCGAATTGTAGAATAATATGCTCTTACTGGTACATGTGTTTGTCACGAATCACAAACAGCCACCACAATCTCAGACCTGTGTTGAAACATGCTACAACCTGGATACATGTTTTTTAGCTTCTAGTCGAATGATCCTCGCGACACCGTACGCAAACATTCACATGCGGACGCGATCAAATTCAAAGAAACCTTCGGTCCTGCAGTACATGCAAGGATCCGGGACGTTTTCAAAATGCCAACATTTTCTACATTTCAATCAGTAAGGCTTAAAGGGAGGTAGCGCAGGTGCATCTACCCATACACAATAAACTCAAGAGTCTACTGGCGTATTCTAGGGTACCAGACCGCTACCGCAGCCTCAGATCCACCACTTATAAACTATCAATGTTGCTAGATGTAGAAAGCAATGGGGCATACATGGAAAGTGGTTGTCAAGGTCATATTAAAAATAGTAGTCCCTTATAGGATAGAGGTCCCCAAGTCGCACGTGCTTGTGAATACCGTGGCAGATTGCTCGGGTCGATCCATGGCGAAGAAAACGAAAGCCTGCAGATATGCGTTGTGGGGAGCGGATAGGAACTTGGCGACATTCCGGGAGCGTGTTTTCTCAAGGTGAAACATGCTAGTCGGGATGGCAAAATGCATGGATTTCTAGTTGTTCCCCACCCGCCCAGCTGACCAAGTCGCACCCCAGGGAGTTCGTTAGAAGTTTGGACTTTCGGGGGGGAGGGACCTTTAGGTCTATGTGGGTTATACTGCAAGGAAGAGAGCGTCGGCGTGGGGGGACAGAATTCCAGCTTCGCCGGGACCAACTATTCCGCACTTCCAGATGTGTAAATCTGGAGTCATTCCAGACTTGAATATCTGGAATTTGGAATTGCTAGGCCTCGCAATCTGGAATTCTGGAATGAACATCCTGGAATTAAACCAGAATTGAACCTCTGGAATTCTGGAATTGTTAGGCCTCGCAAATCTGGAATTCTGGAAGGAACATCCTGGAATTGAATCAGAATTGAAACTCTGGAATTCTGGAATTGTTAGGCCCGCAAATCTGGAATTACTCAGATTTGGAAAATCTGGAATTGTGCAATAACTGGAATTCCCGTCTTGTGATAGCTGGCCTGAAGCCTTTCCCAGACTTTCCTTGGATTCTTGCAAACGCTTATCCCAAAACCTGCCCTGGCCAGATCTTTTCTGTGTCGATGCAGAGTGGAGCTCAGGCATGTGTTTTTTGTGGGAAGGTACCAAATATTTGCTTCATTGCATATAAAGCCTGAATAGCCGCTGTAATCCTTGGATTAGGGTTATTTGGGCATTAAGGACTTGCTCATTCCAAAAAATGTGTTTCTGGCAACTGGATTTACTTCTAATCATGCAATCTTCGCACCTTTCGGGATACCAAGGCTTCGACTGTTTCTCACAAGGGACTCGACTGGCTTCAATTTGAATATGGATTCCAAGAGGTTGAATATCTTTCGGTAGGACTTCAGTCCTTTTCTGCCTGGTGAAAAGGCTGTACGTATGGAGAATCCCCAAGTATGATTGTTGATATCTCTCTCAGCAAACGACTTGACTCATAAACCAAGCTGTATCTTTTCCAAATACAAACAGCATCAAGCAAGCTAAGCGTTGAAGTAAAGTAAAAAATAATAGTGAGTGTTGTTTGTCACTTGGTTTTGATTTTCATTCTTACGATGTAAACAGATATATCAACCATGAGCCCTGCGCATGCATGGCTGCGGCTGTGCATTAAACTGGCTGCCGGAGAGCACTCAACTCCAAGTTTGCACAAAGTCTCCACTGACGGAAGTCCACTCTGTGGCAAGCGCCGAATCGGCAAGAGCGGCTGCTGAACAGACTGCCATCGATTGCCACGATCCGTGCGGCCTCTTCTCCGCGGCTTCCTTAGCCTGCTTCTCAGCTTTGGGCACGGCCTAGTCGAACCGTGTACTCCGAAAAGAGGTGCATGGGCAACGTGTTGCAAGGCATAGTTTCACCCTTGCCGGACATGGCTTGGCGCCTGCTGCAAAGCCTCCTCTTTGGCCTCAGCTCGCAGATCTTGGGAGGGTGCCGTGTAAGGGCGCATGATCTGCGCATGTCTTCGGCTGCGACCTTAGCTACGTTCGCTGCAGACTGCTCCTTGAGCCGGTTCTCTTCGTTTGCCATGGCCTGACAGCATTTGCCACACTTTCCGTTTGCTTGCCGTCTGCAGATCCGTCGATCAGGATGCAAGACTTGCACAGAATTGTGGGCTGGTGGTGGTGGTTTTTGTCGTAGAACCGGGAGTGGCTGTGGGATGCCGCGGCGGCAACAGAAACCAAGCCTTTGCAAGATCCTTTTGGATGTTGCCTTCAGCCTGAGCTCAGGCAGGTTCCAACATTGGCCTCAGCCAAAGCCATGGGCCTTCTTCATGTGTTCATCAAACTCCCTTCGAGCTTCTTCAATCTTCCTTTCTCTGACAGCCTGCAACGAATTCTGGATAAATTCGGCCAAGGCGGTTCAGGCAGATATATCTCGTCCACATCACATCGCCATTATGGCACTTGCACCAAGCAGCCGGCGCTGCAATTGGAAAGCTTTGTGACTTATGAGCTCCAGTTCCGGGGTTAGGGGGCGGGGATGCAAGATCGTAAAAATGTCGCCGGCTGATCCGCGCAGATGCTTCATGATTTTGGCCCCCGATGGATTTACGGCTTATGCTTCTGGGTTGCCCTTCCAAGTGGCTCAAGTCTAGACTCCAAACCCTAAGGCACAAAAATGCTGTAAAAAAACGCTGTTGCATGTTTGCATCTGGAATGGACGCTTGCGGCTGAGTCTCTTGTTCCAGAAACATCAAGCATCTGTAGTCAGTATAAGGGACCTAGCACCGAGAACTCTGTCACCTGTGTTTGGTGCATGGACACTTGCAACTGCGCCTCTTCTTCCCTGAAACGTCAAGCATGCACCGCAATGTCCAAACGGCAAAAACTCTGTAAATACCAGTGTGGCATCTACACAATATCAAGATTTCTGATCCGAGGCCCCACCCCTACTGTACGATTACTACTGCTGCTGCTGCTGCTGCTGCTGCTGCTGCTGCTGCTGCTGCTGCTGCTGCGGCTGCTGCTGCTGCTGCTGCTGCTGCTACTACTACTACTACTACTACTACTACTCTACTACGACGACGACTACGATTGGGACGAGGACGAGGACGAGGACGTGGACGACGACGACGACGACGACCACGACGACTACTACTACTTCTTCTACTACTACTACTACTACTACTGCTACTGCTACTGCTACTGCTACTACTACTACTTCTTCTACTTCTTCTACTACTACTACTACTACTACTACTACTACTACCACTACTACCTGCTACTACTGCTACTGCTACTG